TTATTTTTAGTGTCAAACAATTCCAAGGCTCCATCTTTCATAATCACTGAAAACCCTTTTTCAACTAGTTTTCCAACACTTAGCAGATTGCACTTCATTCAAAGTACATCTTTGATCATAGCTTTTCCTTAATTGCTCCTTTAAATAACTACGTTGCCAATACATTATGCCTGCAACGAGCTATTATCACCAAGTTTGACCTTGCTCTTCTTCGATGATTCAAAATTTGATAACCACATTTTTCGACCAGTCATGTGATTCGAGCAACCCAAGTCGAGGAACCAGATCTTGGAGTCAGCATGGTCATGTGCAACTGCAACCATAACCGTCATATCTTCAGAATCATGTGAATCTTGGCATGTAAGGTTTGCTCCTTCCTCCTTGCCTTTTTCCAATCTATTATCTTTATTGTACCAACAATGCTTAGCCATGTGACCACACTTTTCACAATTATAGCATTATACACCTTTTTTTCTTGGCTAAATACTCTTTTTGGTCCCTTAACTATACCCTTAGATTCAAATTGGTCCCTTAATTATTTTTTGTGTCAGATTGGTCCCTTGACTTTTTAAAACGTGTCATATTGGTCATTTTTGTCTAATTAGCGACGAAAAAAATTCAAAAATCCATCGTTAAACCGTCACTAATTAGATAAAAGGACCAATATGACACGTTTTAAATAGTTAAGGGACCAATCTGACACAAAAAATAATTAAGGGACCAATCTGAACCTAAGGGTATAGTTAAGGGACCAAAAATGGTATTTTGCCTTTTTTCTTTGTCTTTCTGATAGGAGTTTCCTTCTTCTCTTTTCGAGGATTCAGAAGCCTTATCACCGATCTTATGCTTTTGAGGGTTCGACCAAGACTTCTTGTTTTGAGTTTTGTCTCCTTTTCCTTTGAATTTTTTTGGAACCACCATGTTTCTTCCAAGCCCGAGCCTGCAGTGCTTGTATAGAATCTTAAACCTCTTTCCTTTCAAAAATCCTAATTTCATGTGCCTCCAACGAACAACCCATATCTTCTAGTTTTAGGGTTTCAAAATTGTTAGATTCTTGAATAATTATGATAATATGATCAAAGTGAGAGGTCAACATACGCATTACCTTCTCAACTATCATCTTGTCAGTTAGGGTTTCACCAAAACCCTTCATGAGATGGAAGAGATTATGCACTTTTGACACATAGCCTACAATCTTTTCATCTTCCCCCATCTACATCAATTTATATTACTGTCGTAAAGTCTACAATTTCATGACTTTGACTTTTTCATCTTATTAATAAGTACTTGAAAAGAATATCACATGCCTTATTCGCCGATCCAACATGAGAGATCTTGTCAAGATTCTCCGAATATACTGCCGGGTGAATGCAATATGCAACCTTTAGTAAAGCTTAAGGACGCTGTTAGTAACCACTTCTAAGGTTTCATGAAAGCCAAACAAAGATTGCATCGGTTTTCTCCATAGGATCCAATTCATGTCGTCAAGAATTGGAAGATAATTGGGAATTCCATTTGTACCATTCACCATTGCAGCGATTGATTAATAACCCATGATCCTAGAAACACGATCACCGTCATTTGATTCTTGAAAAACACGATCAAAAACCTAACCAGAACTCTAGATACCAATTTGTTAGTGCGTGAGAAACTTTTAGTGAGGAGAGAAAGAGAGAGAATATAAAAATAAGAATTTTATTATTTAATATATTTGTATTGCTATATACATGTATTTATATACAAGGTTACTTGTACTCTAAATAACAAACTAATATAACAAACCATAGATCATAATTATTTTTGGGCTTGGGCCTTACACAACTTATTATTAATGAGAATCGTTATGACACCCTATATACTTTTAACGCAACATATGAAATTCAATAAATGTCCCCTGCTTTCGGAGATATATCTCCGGACGCACCCAAACATAAATGGATATTGAAATATTTTAAAGATATATCTCCGAAACATTTTAGAGCATAAGTCGCGCCAGACCCATCTTCTTCCTCATTTCACATTTTCTTCAAACACACCTTCAACACTCTTATCAATACAACCCCTTACACCAAATTGAATTTCATCACAAAAGGGTCAACGAAACTCAAAGGAACTACTAAGATCATCTATAATATTGGAAATAACATCTGAATCATCAATTTTAAGTAAGTTTTTCGAGTTTACGGTAAATTTTGAGTTTTTGTGTAAATGTGTAAAACTCAATGATTAGGGTTATAGAAGTGTGTTGAAATCACGTGTAACATAGTTTAGACTTAATGTATAACTTATTTGTTGGATGAAAATGGCGATCAGATCATGCTTTTTTCAACATGCAAGAGGTACATTCTCCATTTACGTAACCTCTATGTTGCAGAATATTTCAGAGATGCATCTCGGGAATTGTTTAACATTTCATATAATTTAGGAAATTACGAAGATGCATCTCCAAAATTGGTCTAAGTTTTAGTTTAATGGTGCTTCTGGAGATGCATCTCCTGAATTGTTAAACATTATAGTTAAATGGTCTTTCCGGAGATGTATCTCCGAAATTTCCTGCAATGTTTTCATTTTATTTTTGAATTTTCTTACTTGTGTGTGTTGTTTAGGTGCACTAATGATATGCCTTAATTTACCTTACATATATAATGGCTGATAGAGTTGACAGACTAAGACATGGCCGTGTTACTCAGCACACATTCGTTCGGTGGGAGCGGAGCCAGCAGGTTCCGAAGGCTCTAGGTACCTCTGGTCAGGAAGAGGTGTCTACTTCTAGGGCGACGTCTATTTCCGAGGCTCGTGCTTTATCTCAGGCCACGCCACGTTCTTTTTCTTCCCGTAGGAGACATGAATCATTATCTGACCCGTCACTTCCCTCATACTCCTGCAGGTGTTAGAATTCACCAGTGTCAGCTCATATGCATGATGCTACCCACCTCTCATTAATGATGATGTTGATCCGATGCCACCTCTAGAGGGTGAGGCTGTTGAGGATGTCGAGCCATAGAGTTTGGGAGGAGGTTATCTGATTTATCTTTTCTTCCTCTATATACATACCATATTGCGAGACATATATTGGATGAAAAGGTACCATTAGTTGGATTTTTTATTTAATTTTTACGTTAGTTTTAATTGGTGGCATTGATTATTTTTGAAATGATTATTACTGAAATTGATTATTTCTGGAAAATTTCAGAAGCATGATCCCTATAAGTTTCTTAACTATGGGAGGAAGATTGTTTCATTGCGTTAGCAGGAGGAGGGTTGGTTTCAGTCGGTTCTGTTATTATCTGGCCTAAAGGACCTATGCATGATTGATTACACTCTAGTCAACCATGAGATGTTTAATGCATTCGTAGAGAGATATCATTCAAATACCTCTTCGTTTCATCTCCAACATGGTGAAATGTCTATCACACAGGACAATGTCTCGTATTTGTTACATCTTTCGATCAGGGGGAGATTCCTCGATCATGGGAGGATGGCCAAAGACGAGGCAGTCGAGATGATGGTAGAGCATCTATGGGCTAATCTAGGGAAGACGATGAAGGAGGTGGATAGGGCTAGGGGTGCTCATGCTATATTTAAGTTCTTGAAAGAGAGATATGATAATGAGATCCTTAGTACACAACAAGCTTATGGTAATGTTGAGCAGGTGGCGATACACAAAGCTTGTGCTTTAAGGGCATACTTTCTTATTTTGGTTGACACTTGCCTTTTTGTGGACACGAGTGCCACTTATGCTGACATTGCATACCTCCGGTACTTCTTGGATCTCACTCAGATCCATGAGTACAACTAGGGGCGGCTTGCCTGACCTATCTTTATTCGAAGTTGAGACCAACTCATCAGGAGATAATAGAGGAGCAGACTCAACTAGATCATATTGATGATGTCTTTCCTAGGTGTCATCGCATATTGGAGATTGCGCAGGCAAGCATTGACGAGGGTATCTTCCTTGATGGGTCTGGTGTTAGGCGAGTCTTGGATGCCATCACGGTGAAGACACAACGGACACTGTTGTACTAGAGACGTCGCCGGAGGATGAGGGATTGATGGCCGAGGAGACAGAGTAGGCAGAGGAGGATGAGGAGATGTTGTCAGACATACACAATAGTAGGTTGCTATTATTTTGTTGTAGTACTATAATCTTTACTTTATTTTTACGGTTTTATTACATTTTGGATCTCGATTGTACGACATTTCTAAATTATTTTTGACACACCCAATATTTGAGACCATGCGTCATACTTCATCTGAAAACAAATATACAACTTATAGTAAAAAACACTTGTTCTGATACACTTCGTAGATGTATTTTCAGAATATTATCGGAGATGCATCTTTGGAACAATTCACATGTAAATGATTACTGAGTGACATGTTTTAAATATTTAAAATGGTTTCAAAGATATATCTCTGAAATATATCAACATTTATTCAAAAATAAATACATTCAGAGATACATCTCTAAAGTTTAAAAGTATTTAAATAATTTCGCTTAGTATTTAAGAACTATCTAAAATGTCATAAAAAATTCTCTTATTTATTTCAACACATCAAACACCTCATCAAAAGAAGTATAATTTTTACTCTGTAGTTCTTAATATAAAAAACTTTATTTTTTATATTCATTGAATTAACAATGTATCTAGATTATATATAGCCTAGATGCATTGATTTTTTAAATTAATTTTAAAAATAATTTTTTCCTTATCTTTTGGTAGTATTTTAACAAACTTTATTGAATGGAAGATGAGTGTAATTTCAAACTAACAATTTAATTCACTAGCGCTAGAGATATTCTAAGCATATACTAATTATTGTAAATGAAATAATTATCATTTAAATCAGAACAAAATTGATAGGGAGGAGATAATCGAGTGACTATGTTGACAGTTGTTGGATTGGATACGAAACAAACAAGCAACGAAATTCATTGATATATGATTTGAGAAACCAAAACCGACGAAAGTGTTGTAGAATTACAAGAATCACAATCGATGGCCACTGCAACAACAGTAGTAAAGTATGGAATAATAGGCGTTGGAATGATGGGAAGGGAACATCTCATCAATTTGTATCATCTTCGCAATCAAGCTGTTGCTGTTGTTGCCATTGCTGACCCTCACCTTCCCTCTCAACAACTCGCCATCGACCTAGCACACTCCTTTTCTTGGCCTCTCAAGGTATCAATCAATCTTTGAATTGTAAATATCTGTTTTGTTTTCAGTATTTTTGGTGCTAATCTTTGAAAACCTGAAACAAATTGAAATTTGATGATATAGTTTAGTTAAGGTACTGAGGTAAATGAACGAGTCTGTGTTTTGTGAAGGTTTTCTCAGATCACAAGGAGTTGTTGGATAGTGGACTTTGTGATGTTTTGGTGGTATCTACTCCTAATATGACACATTATAGCATTCTTATGGATATAATCAATCATTCAAAACCGCATCATGTGTTGGTAGAAAAGCCACTCTGCACCACTGTCTCCCATTGCAAACAGGTTTGTCTATTTACTGTCATCATGTGCACTGCAATTTTCATATTAGCTGTAGAATTCCTGATTCGGTTTTTGCTGTTAGTTCTTATGATAAGTATTTCGTAATCGTCGAATTTATCGCCATAATGTGTTTGGATTAGGTTGTTTGTGCTGCTCAAAAGAGACCGGATATATTGGTTCAGGTGGGACTTGAGTATAGATACATGCCGCCTGTTGCGAAACTGATAGAAATAGTGAACGGAGGAAGCCTTGGACATGTTAAAATGGTATCAATTCGGGAGCACCGGTTTCCTTTCTTGGTTAAGGTTAGCTTTTATACCAACTGAGATTACTTTACATGGTTTTGTTCTAGTATTGAGTAAAGCTGAAAGAGTGATATTGGCGATAGGTGAACGACTGGAATCGGTTCAATGTTAACTCAGGGGGAACTCTCGTAGAGAAGTGTTGCCACTTTTTTGATCTCATGAGGCTCTTTGTTGGCGCAAATCCCGTTCGCGTGATGGCTTCTGGAGCTATTGATGTTAATCACAAAGATGAAATATATGATGGAAAGGTTCCAGATATTATTGACAATGCATATGTTATAGTTGAATTTGACAACGGTTCTCGAGGAATGCTGGACCTTTGTATGTTTGCAGAAGGGAGTAAAAATGAGCAAGAAATATCTGTTGTTGGTGATATTGGAAAGGTAAAATTCTTCTGCAGGACCAGCCGCTTACATCTATTTAACTCAACTAACACGTATCAGTTAAGCTATTCCACCCACCCAGATAGTTATTATACTTGTGTTCTTTGAAGGGAGAGGCCTTTGTTCCCGAGAGTGTTGTGCGGTTTGGAACGCGTGAGGCAGGACGAGATGGTGTCCAGAGTTTGAAAGCAGAAGATTCCCGGATAAAGTGTGTAGTACCTTGTGTTTGTGTTAAATATTTCATTACCTAACTAAGTTTTGAGATGATGAAATAAATTTGAAGTTGATTTTAGTATATAATGATGGAAATTGTTTTGTACAGATATGATGGATTACACCATGGGTCTAGCTATCTGGAACACCTAAATTTCTTGAGTGCTATTAGAGGTGAAGGTGAAAAGGGTCCTGCTGTAAATCTTGAAGATGGATTAATATCTGTTGCTATTGGAGTTGCAGCACAAGTTTCCATAGAAAATGGTCGATTTGTTACTATTCAAGAAGTTATGGATGGCCTTCAAGTATGAGAGCCATATAGGTTAGGGATCATGCCACTCTTGTTATCACTATATGAAAAAAATTAATGCTGAATGATTGTGAAATTTACATTTCTTCCACCTAAGTTTTAGCTCATTAATAATCGCAAAAATATTAATACGATTTTCATTCGAAAGGATGTGTTACGCGTTTGGACAGTTTTATTTTCGTCTAACAACAAATATTAGTTGTTATGAACTCCTTATCACTTAATTTTAATGTTCTCCAAACTACTTTAGCACTCTTGGACAGTTATTTTGCAACTGAGTAACATTAGGCGTTTTAATTGGTACTGGTATTATATAATGGAAGGTCTAAAGAGTTTGTGATTGGCCTGATAGAAAAAGAGCAAACGAAGTAAAGGATTCCATGCGATGGATAAGGAGTATTTCCAAACATGGCTCTATTCCAGATCTTTATATTTTCTATAAATAGACCAAAGTTGTACTTTTTTACCAAAGCAAAGTTGTACTTGTACCTATACAATAAGAATTAGGACGGGACCATGCAATGCACGCGCGTGTTTGATACGATTCTCAACATAACTACCAGTTGAAGGACAAATTGTACGGTATTTATTTAGTATAAAAATGTCAAAATATATTAACTTAAAAATGTGAAGTTGAAATAGTGGAGACTACATTCCATATCTATGTTGTACTTTTATCTTTGAAGAGTCTAAAAAAATGTCAAATTTTCTTTTTTTAAATAGAGTTTTTTCATCACTAAAACAAATTTCCTTTTTGAATTTCTTTAAAAAGGTTTTTTGGAAATTTTGTCATATGATTTATTCGTGAGTAAATTTAAGATTTTATTGTAAAATTATTTATTGAATAATTAAATTTCCTGAATTGTTTACCGGATAAATTGTATACAAAATTTTTAAAACTTTACTTATAATATATTTGTTCTGAATTAGGCCTGAGGCTGACCATCATCGCGCACGACTTAACTCAGCTTCGAGTTTGGGAAGATTTAAAACAAAGGCTCAATCCGCCTTCACCGCAGGAGGAAACGTTTCTCACACGTTCTCTGCGTGCTTCTCACGCGGGAACACGTCATCAACCAACTACCCACGTCCGAGAGAACAGATCCTCCACCCCCCGGAGTTTGTGGAGCAGTTGACTCAAGACGAAGACCACATGCGGGTCTTTGTTACTGCCACTGAAGATCTTGGCAGTCATTTGTTGTGGGTCTTGCGATCCAGCCTAAAGCAGATGACCGTTGGTCCAGTGCTGGTGTAATACCCAAATTTTTACCCCTAAAACCTCACATATCATTTGCATCCTGCATCATAAGTAAGATCATCTAGCACCTGTGTTTTTTCTTTGTTTCATTTTATTTGATTGCTTATATTTACTAACCCTAATCAAAATACCAAAAATATGTTTGTTTTTCCTTTACTAACTCTTCTTCAGGAAGAGGTTAGGATCAAGAACACCAATTAGCAGTCTCTCAGCTTGATTGAAATTCATCTGAAAATTCGAAGTTGATCGGCAAACAATTCAAAATCATTTGATCAAGAGTTTCCCAAGATTTGATTGTTTATTGCTTAAGAGACTCTAAGGTTCATGTGTTTATTACCATGTCTTCTTTAACAAGCAAAAAAATTGAGGCAAAGCCAATACAACACAGCAAAAAGTCATTTTCTCACTTTTTCACTGTGTTAATCGATTAACCAAATTTGTACATGAAATGGTTAAACGATTAACCAGTGCATTTTTGTGAAAAATGACCCAAATTCAAATTCTGCAGCATTTTGGCAGCAAAATTCACTTGTTTCATCATGAAAATATTCTAGATCACCTCATTTTAATTCCAATACCTCATCATAATTAATTCCTATCATACACCCTCATTAATCACCACTTGATCTTGATTTTGCCTCCAAAATTTAAATTCCAAACCTAATTTTGATTCCAAACCAATTTCTAAACCACTAAATTTCCAAGCCTAAATTCTATAAATAGAGGTCTCATTTCATTCATTCTTCAAGCTTTTGAGAGTCAAAATCACCTTGTCAATTTTCCTTCTCATTATCTCAATTTCCTTCAACCACCAAATTCACTAAAGCTCTTTATTCCATTAAATGTTAGTGTTAGAAGTATTTTTCGGTAGTGTTTTATTGTATCCACAGGAATTGATGAGAATATGTGATACTTGTCGTTCAATGGTTTAATTATTTAAGAAGGGGGATTTTTAAATTGATTTCTATTTTTTGTAACAAGAGTTTGTAGAAATAAAACAAAATAAAATTTGGTCTTAGTTTGATAAAAAAGCATGCCAAGATTAGGGTTCACTAATTCGTCTTAAACGTATCCAACCGATCAAATATGTGAACGTAGTTTTAACCAACATAATCGCGTATCCTCGCAAAAACGTTCATTTCTAAAGCGATTTCGTGAATGTTATTATTTTGACCGTTAAATGATCTCTCTAAATAACACTCGAAACAATAATCATTAAGATCAATACAAAGCGAATATCAACTTTCAAACCTATGTTAGAGTTTGTATAGTTGATAGATGAAGAAATTAGGTCAAGACTTGAAAAGTTCATGTCTAAAGCAATCCAAACCACAAATATAACAAAATATAGCAAATAACTTCATCTATATTGATCAAAGTCTTGTTCACATACAAAAGATCAAGAAGAATACATAAAATCTGAACTAGCTACCTCTAACCTTGACAAAAGAGGGGTTTTAGCCACCCATTTCCATGATAGCTTGAGCAACAAGTTTCGGAAGAAGGTTGATCAACATCCGAGTCGAATAATCGAGATTAGATAGAAATCCACCTTCTTTTTGTGAAAGATGGCTAAGAGATGATGAGAAATGAAGAAACTAGGATTTTAGCTCTGAAAAATCTCTAAAAAGAAAAGTACAAGAAAAAAGATATTTTTACAAAAAGTACCACATACTACTTATAGACATGTTACTGAGATATCTTGTTCGCACTGCGAACAAAGTGTTCGCCTAGCGAACAATGCAAATTGGCAGTTGAAGTGCCTGTGCACAGTGAAGACGCCCCTGAGATATTTCCACATGTTCGTTGTGCGAAGAATCTGCAAAGGCTTCGCTGCAAACTTCGCACAACGAACTCTTGTCCAAATACTTACTACCTCAAGTTTGGGGGTGTTCGCTAGACATTCGCTTCCTCTTTGCTCCAGCGAGTACTTCGCTACCTCCTTCGCACAGCGAACTTAGGTCCCTTTTCTTACCGGAATGAACAGTACCACTTTTCAAGGCCTTCGCTGGCAAGTTCGCTATGCAAACTTGTTGATGTTTGCAAGCTGATTTGGTTTCCTTGTCATAATTTTTGTGACTTACTCTTCAAATTCCCATGCCTAATTCCTACACAATAGCACACAAATCAAAGCAACTAAGATATTTTCACATAATGATGCAAATCAACAAAAGCAAGAATGATTCTAACACTTTCTCTACAAAAAGGAATGAAAGATGCCCATATTTGATAGTTCAAATAAGCAAAGTTTGGCATATAATAACTCTCCCCAACTAGATCTTTGCTTACCCTTAAGCAAAGTATGCCTCTTGATAAAACAAGAAGATTTGCTCAAGAATAAGATTTCTCCAAGAATGGATCAAATGGCTCAAATACAAGGAATGTAACCAAACACGGGTTCCAAATGATGAGAATCAAATAATGCACAAGAACTAAAGTCTTAAAGAAATTATCAAAACATGCATCAATCAATAATTATGTCTTCTTGAATGAATCACCCTATCTCTCCTCTTTGAAAAAGGATTGAAGAAATTACGCGTTTGCAACTGCGGAGACAATTTCACTCACCTAACAAACAATGCCAATATCGATCTAATTCATACAATATCTAACAATCAAAAATGAAAATATGGAAGCAAGAAGATCACTAAGGTCTTTTAAGGTTGTAGCTTGGCCGGGTTTACAAACAAGGGACATTTCTAAGGCCATTGAAATGAAATTGCCGATGCAAAAGAGATATTCACTGTACACGCTATTTACACATCCCAACTTCACTCCATTTGTTTTTCAATTGCAAACCTTCCAACTTTATTTCACAACTTATTCTTTCACTATTTTTTTCTTTTCCAAGGAAGCATTTTTTTTCTCTTTTTTTCATATTCATATTCGCACAAATTTTTTCAATGCTTGCTTGAATTTTTCAAAAGTTGTAGCAACCCATTGTACTTCTTTTTCATTCTCCCCAACTTAACTTTTACTCAACCCTTAAGTGAATGCTCTTCGCTTTTTATGGCAAAGAGAACAATTAACATAAAATTCAAGGGTTCAAGAAAAAAATTTAGAATCTCACAAAAATTCAGACTGAGATTCACATTGTTTAGGCTAAAGGGGGTTAACGAATTCTCCCTGCTCATGGGTAAGTTGCATTTGGAAATGGTTGTGCTCAATATAAACAAGTGCCTTTATCATTTCTAATGCTTCCAAAAATTCACAATAATAATAAAATACGAATCAAACGAGTCAACAAAGTCTATTAGAAATTCAGCATTTAGTGCACAATGGAGGTTTCCTTACAATTTGTGGTTTTTTAAGTCCTAAGTGAAACATTCATTCAACAAGTTTCTAAAAGAACAATTTTCATTTACAACAAGATTTAAGTTCTTAAGCATTCTAAGATTTTAACCAAAGGTAACCATGTACCTTGACATTATTCGCTTGCTTAATATTATCATTGACATCCAAACTCGGATGGATCTTCACTGGATACTTCTTTTCAGAGAGCAACCAATCTAGAAGTTTAGTTAAAACCCAACAGCAAGAAGATATTAAAAACCACTTGAAAAGAAAAACAAAAAAATTTTAAACATAAAACTTGACATTAATAAAACTTAATAAAAATGTGCTTAGGTGTAAAAATACCTCAAAATAGTACATAAACCAAATCTGAAACAAAGTACGATAATACTAGCAAAAGTAATGATTTAAGCACAAAAATACTTCACTTTGAAGACCAAAGGAAGTTG